CGATACAAACACAGAATAACTACTTGTCCAAGAACTCCCTGCAAGACAAGGCGATACAAACACAGAATAACTACTTGTCCAGAATAATAACTGCAGAATAACTACAACTGCTTGTCCAAGAACTCCCTGCAAGACAAGACAATTGCAGAATCTTTACGCTGGTACAGCTGCACGTGGTGATTTCAAAGACGAGTTTTGTGCAACAAGCACAACCTAATGTACTATGTAAAATGGCATAATGTAAACTAATCATATAAGCATGTTTACTCCAATGCAAAGCAGTGCTTTTTTAACGTGTCTATTGGCATTTACATCCCAAGACAATAATTATAACAATAATTAACACATAACAGATACCTTAACCGTTCAATCTTAACCAATACGGTAGGTGCTGCCACCTAATGGGTACATTTATCCCAAATGAATGGACTCGATTGAAAATGAATTTTAACCCTCGCCGAACACGCCTAGACTTAATTCCAGCATGTACAGGGGTAGAAATTAACTTTTAAACACTTTTAAATTTCCCTCAAAAAGAAGGAGTCCGCAGCAAAATGAGGGAGTCCGCAGTCTGAAGTTCAAAATTAAATATATTAACAATAACGCATGTGCTTATTTTTAAGATTCATGCGGTTGCACGTCTGCCAAATTTTCTTTGGACTTTTACTGGAAAAATATGGTAATTCTGCGAGGCCGTGCTCTGGAACGAACTAGTTAGAATGGCAGAATTTTCAGGGAGTCACACGGACTCCTGCATATATGTCAAATATGCAATATGTCAAATCAGGGAGTCCGACACTAAATCAGGGAGTATTTGACTCCAGACTCCCGATAATTTCGCACCCTGATTTATATCTCTTACGATCCGCATTATTCAGACGAGTCTGCATTTTATACAGCGTGTATATCTCTTACGATCCGCATTATTCAGACGAGTCTGCATTTTATACAGCGCGTATATCTCTTACAATCCATTTTATATACGGGGATTTTAGTAGTTTAGGATATTAGTTGCTGCTTTTTATACAGCGAGGGGTCAACGGAGAATCGATCGCGTTTCTTCGTGCGTGCACACTCACTTGAACGGATGTCCCTCGGAGGACTTCTGTACGGCCTGGACCGCCTTCTTGTAGACGTAGAAGGAGATGGTGACAGTCAGCAGGGCAATGCTTGCATAGGTGAGCACCAGCATGAGAGAGAAGTAACTGACCATCAGCAGAACCAGCAGAGTGGAGCCGAAGCAGACGCCGGACTTCTTCAGGTCCCTCCAGTACACCAGGTCCACGACTGCAACGACGATCACCGCGAAATCAATCACTACGAGACGAAAATATAGATAGCAGGGCTTCAAGTGACCATTGTCAAAAATAAAGGGATAAAATTAATATAGGACATTTTTCAGAAAAATATATGGCTAATATATAGGTAAAGGTAGGTTTAATCCTATTAATTTATAGATAAATAAAGGTTTATTATAGCAGAGCGCAGGACATTTTCACGACGACATTTGCCATTCGTATATTTCATTACTTGTCATTACTTTTGTCACTACTTGTCATACTGTTCATGTTGTGTACAAGACAATGTACCAATTACCGAATCACACGTGTTGACAACAATAGCACTATGTAACCGCAAAGTTGAATCAGACTAGCATTAATTTTCTCCTAGCAAATTCTCTGTGCCCATGCACTCATAACGTAGTGCAGAAAACGAGATCTAATGCTAGATTCCAATTAGCCAACATAATAATAGCTACCAAGGAAACGCTATACATCCACCTAATACTTCAGCATATATGCACACATGTTTACCCATAAGTGGGATTGGGAAATACGTACACAATATTGCATGAGTCATAGTCGTTGAACTTGCTTGGGTAAATGTTGGTAATAGACAACGCAATGGAAAAGGGCTGGTGTGAGTTTTTTTGTCGGTTTTTTTGGTGGGAGTTTTTACTTGGCCACCCTTTTCAAATGTTTTTTTAGTTTAAAGAGATTAACCTCGAAACTAAAACTGCTAATGTTGCCAGAATGCCAATCCTATCACAGGTCACAGCTGCATAGCTAGTAGCTACAGTGAGGTATAGGGGGCTTCTCACCAGCTATTTACCCACCTTATGTATATGTATAAGTAAACAAAACAACAACAATAACAACAGCAGCAGCAGCAGCACCAGTAACAACAACAACAACTACAACAACAGGCACATCTTCTCATCAAATCCAGGTGGTGTGAATAACATACAACATAAGATAAACACACGCAAAGCGCACTAACAACTGAAGAGGCCGAATTCAGGTCTCCCGCTTGGTAGACCGGAACCAAAAACAATAAAATTGGATATGTTAGGGTGTGCCCCTTTCAGCTAATTGCCTTCCTTCGGCATCATAGCGGTAACTAAATGCCCGCCTTGTACAGTCTTATAACCAGTAATGCCTGTCCATTTACACCCCCTATAAAAGAAAATATACAAGCTAGAAGCTTTTTAAAATGCTAGAAATTTCCTACACATAGTATTAGTAAACATACCTAAACATTTCATTGTGAGCTTTACACCCAATTAGACCCAATTTTTAAACCCAATACATTATTACCCAAGACTACAGTTATAGTACATACAGTACTAAATTTTTGCAGTAAAGTAAACATTACAGCTGCCACATAAAATATACTAGCTAATAGTAATACGTATTATCACCCATACTAATCACGTTTCTTAATCCTGCCGTTGGCCGAAAATGGCAGAATCACTCCAGAATTGACAAGATACACATCACGTGCGCATGCACGTTTCTCTTTTCATTTTCTCCATACATCCAATCGCCAACATGCCTTTCTCCCTGTTCTCTATGACATTTGCGTCCTAGTATGCAGTAAGTTGTTGTGTTGCATTAAACCTCTTCCGACGATCCAAAAGTTGATAAAGTTCTAGCAGGAGATGGCAGCGCATTGATCGTGTGCATATTTAGCTGGCTCCCCCTTTAGTCACTCTCAATCGGCACACAACTCACTGCAGACATCGTACAGTTCTCAATAAAACCTTCACAACCAACGGCGCTTTTCGCTTTAGACTTCGATTCTAAGCTAACTAAACATTGTGCCAAAACCAGACGGAAAGGCTTATATAGACGCATAACACGTTTCTAGGTTTTACAGTGAATGACTTTATCAACGACTGCAGTTAGATTATGCATGAATGTTTTCATTGCAGCCCATGTTCAGGCTTAAAATCTTGTATTATCTTCACGAGTGGTGGTTTTACAGCGGGTTGAGAGAACGCCTATTATTAGCTTCAAGAACGGCGGCACTTTCATGGATTGGGGCAGAACGCGTACAAGTATCAGGCGTGGAGGGATATCATGAGAGTGGGGGGAGACAGAATACCATGTATCAGTATCATCATGGGTGGCCGCACATACGCGGTGGTGGAGGGAAAACACCTTGTATCAGTCTCAGAAGTGAGGGCACATCATGGGATGGGGTAACAACACCATGGCGTATCAGTCATACAAGTGTAGGCACATCATGGGATGGGGTAACAACACCATGGCGTATCAGTCATGAATACAAGTGTGGCACATCAGGGATGGGGTAACAACACCAATGTGCGTATCAGTCATGAATACAGTGTAGGCACAATCGTGGGCTTTGGTGGACTACACCATGATCATGTTATGCTCATACACAGTGAGGCACATCATGGGATGAGATGAAACATGCACGATGATGTATCAGTCATACAAGTGTAGGCAACATCATGGGAAGGGGTAACCAAACACATGGCGGTATCAGTGCATAACAAGTGTGATGGCACATCATGGGAATGAGGAACAGCACCAATGAGTGTATCAAGTCCATGACAAGTGTTAGGCACATGCATCGGGAGACGGTGGCTACACCCATGTCAATGGATCAAGTATCAGTCACATAAGTGGAGGCCCATTCATGGGATGGGAGAACAACAACATGACGTAACAGTCATACAAAGTGCTAGGTAGCACCACAGTCCTGGGGCTGGTGGAACTAACCACCATGGATCATGTATACAGTCCATACAAGTGTAGGCACATTCATGGGATGGGGGGAACACAAAAAAAACCATGACGTTATCAGTCATACAAGTGTAGGCACATCATGGGATGGGTGATACAGGCACCATGATGTATCCAGTCATACAAGTTGTAGGCACATCATGGGAATGGTGGAAACAGCCGATGACGTATCTAGTCATTACAAGTGAGGCACTGCAATGGATGGGGGAACAAACACCATGACGTATCAGTCAATACCAAGTGTAGGCCCATCGTGGAATTGGTGAAAAACAGGTCACCATGATGTAATCAGTCATACAAGTGGATGGGACAGTCAATAGGATGAGGGAACAACACCAATGACGTATCAGTCATACAAGTGGAGCACATCATGGGAATGGGTTGAAACAGCACCATTGACGGTAATCAGTCATAAACAGTGTGTACGGCATCAGTCTGGGATGGGGGAACAACGACCATGATGTATCAGTCATTACATTAGTGTAAGCACACAATAGTGATGAGGGAACAGGCAGCCATGAACGTTATCAAGTCATGACAAGTGTTAGGCACCATCATGGGATGGTGGAAAAACAGCACGCATGATGTATCAAGTCATGACTACAGAAGTGTAGGCACCATCATCGGGATAGGGAACAGCACCAATGATGTATCAAATCATTACAAGTGTAGCACATCATGGGATGGTTGAAACAACACCCTGATTTCAGTCATACATGTGTAGGCACATCGGGTGGATGGTTGAAACCAGCATCATGGATGTACAGTCATACACAGTTGTAGGCACATCATGGGCTGGTTGGGACTATCACCATGTCAATAGATCATGTATCAGTCTACATAGCCGTGTAAGGCACTCATGGGATGGGGGAAAGCCCATGATGTTCAAGTCATACAAAAGTGTAGGCGCCATCATTGGGATGAGGGAAACAGCACCATGGATGTTATATCAGTCATGGAATACCAGTGTGGCACAGTGTCGTGGGATGGTGAAACAGCACCTGATGTAATCAGTCAATACAGTGTAGGCTACATCATGGATGGTGAAACAGCGACCATGATGTACTCAGGTCATACATGTGGTTAAGGCACGATATGGGGATGGGGGAACAAGCACAATCGATGTATCAGCTTCATGACAAGGTGATAGGCAACATCATGGATTGGTGAAACAGCACCAATGATGGTAAATCAGATCATACATGTGTAGCACCATTCATGGGAATGGTGAAACAGTCATCGCATGAACGTATCAGTCAATACATGTGTAAGGCACATCATGGGGATTGGTGAAACAGGCACGCATGATGTATCAGTCATTCAATTGTGGTAGGCACATCATGGGATGGGGCAACGACACTATGTCAGACGTATCATAACCGAGTGGAGGCACGTCCGATCGGGCGTGGGGGGAAGGGACAAAGACCGCTGTGTCTTATGCATAGGGCACGTCGGGGCAGTGGAGAAGATAAAACGGTGAACATCAATCTCATTAATTGACCCGGTCGGTAATGTTATCCGGGCTTTCTTCTTCCGGAATGTTCGGTGCAATTTTAATCAATATGTCCGTCAATTTTTTCCATGCAGCCAAACTGTAACTGCCTAAAATGAACTTAACCACGTCATTCCTGGTTTCTCGCGACATGGCCTTGTTCAAAATAACATCGAGTTATTAGTTTATCAGTTATTAGTAAGTTCATTTAACATCATTTCTTCGATTATCAATTCACAACACGGGGATCCTAAACAGGCAACATAACTGATTACTTGGACGTCATTTTTCTTCAACTTCTCTACTTGACATCACGAATTGGCGAGTGTCCTCTCTCTCTCTCTCTCGTCGCCTCGCGTGCGCTCGCGGGCTCGCTCTCTCTCGTCGTGGGATCTCTTCTCTCTCTCACCTCATCTCCGGGTCTCTCTTTCTCTCGTCGTCTCTCTCGCTCTCTCTCTCTCTCTCTCTCCCGCTCTCTCTCTCTCTCACGTCATTCAATCAGACCATTATTATGACCTATTGGTGGATCACAAAACGACCAATAACCTCACTTTTCGACAGTCCCCCCCCCCCGAGTGAACCTACTTTAGTGATCATCGGCAAAAATAATAACTAATCATGGGGTGTTCTATTTTGATTGTTCCCTAATCACTCTTAAGACTACACAAGATAAAAACACACAAACACCGGTAAAAAAATATGCAACAACACCTAAAAACCTAAGATTAAGTAGGCAGCAC